TGGGCCTAAAGTGGTTGCTAAAAGCTGAAAGGGATGGTAGGTTGGTGGCACATATGTCTGCCAATCACTTTTCTTAAAAAAAAAAATGCTGTTACAAATAAATCTGGGAAATATGATATATGGACACACTAAAATGAAGGTTTTTAGTACAAGCTAGGTCGTGGCTGGGATTTGTGGGGCCCTAGATCTAATTGGGGACCATCACTCCGCCATGCTCTGGATACACTCTTGAGTAAGTTCAGAGGCAAGGTTAATGATTAATTAAGGTTTTAAAATATTAAATAAACATATAGACATGTGGGAGCAGGGAGAAACACAGAAATGTGCAAGAATCCCATGGATAATAGAGAATATTCCAACCAACCATACCCTCTCAGAAAAGGTGAATAACCCTAGATGTCAGGAAGGATGCTGAATGGTCACATTAAAAAAAAAAAGTCGTAGAGTAGGTGGAGATTATTTGGAAATGACCCCAAATCAAATTGTGCTCTGAAAATCCATCACATCACACACAGAAACAGAAATTCGCATAAGAACCACAGAAATCCAGAATCAGAGGGTAAGTGCACATAGTACTCTTGGTGTAGCTTGACCAAGGCAGAATAGAATGGAACTATGATTTCCCTTGATCTGGACAAGGGGTCAGCAAACTTTTTCCGCAGGGGCCTGGTCCACTGTCCCTCAGACCTTGTGGGGCGCCGGACTATATTTTGAAGAAAAAAATGAACAAATTCCTATGCCCCACGAATAACCCACAGATGCATTTTAAATAAAAGGACACATTCTACTCATGTGAAAACACCAGGCAGGCCCCCCAAATAACACAGAGATGCATTTTAAATAAAAGGACACATTCTACTCATGTAAAAAAATGCTGATTCCTATACCGTCCGTGGGCCGGATTGAGAAGGCGATTGGGCCAGATCCGTCCCCTGGGCCTTAGTTTGCCTACCCATGATCTGGACAGTATACTTCTGTTGATGCAGCCTAGAATACCATTAGTTTTTTTCTCTCCCCCCCCCCTTTTTGCTGCTGCATCACACCATTGACTCATGTTAACCTAAGATCCCTAGATCTTTTTCACCTGTACTGCTGGCAATCCAGACGCCCCCTTATCCTATATTTGTGAATCTGGTTATTCCTGCCCAAGTGGAGAACCTTACATTTGTTTCTATTGAAATTTATTTTGGGCACAGTTCTCCAATCTGTTAAACTTATCTTGAATTCTCATTCTATATTTTGGGGTATTAGCTACCCCTCCCAGTAAAGTGTATTTTCTTTTATGTAGGTCTGATTGATTTGGATGGAGCTAACTTCCAAATAAGCATGCTTAGGATTGCAGCTTTATTTCTATTTCCAGTTTCTCATCTTCATAAATTGTGGGGGGAAAGTGCCCTTCCCTAAATAAACCATGGGAAGAGAGGAGGAGTTGCAAGCTACTTATCTGAAGACACTGGCCTTCCCGATCTCTATTTTGGTAGTATAATGAAAAAAATATTTTCAGACTAAGGATTATTATCCTTCTTCCAGGATCCAGAAATGCAGTTAATCATGAAAACATATTTATTACAGTGGATTCTAAAATAGAGATGAATATATTCAAGTCTTAAAGCAAAAGATTGGGAAACAAGAGAAATGGCTGGGTCCATGGACCTTATATATTAACACTACATGGCCTTAACCTGCAGGCATCACTCAGATACAGCAAATGCCACATTTCTGAATATTCCACCCTTTGATGCCCACCAGAGCAGTTGATGAAGATGGAGGCCAAAATTGTTTGCTTTAGGACTCTAATAATTAGAATCATAGATCTGTAGAATTGGAAAGAATCCAATGTAACATAACAACATAACAATTATGTTATTTTAGCCACTGTGATATGGGTGTGAACGTGTATCAGCCCCATTGTCCATAAAGATACTCAAAATGCTAGCTTTTTAGAGATCAAAATGTTATTAGATGCCTGCTTAGCTGATGCACCACACTTCTTTGGCTGTATGGGTTTCCATAACTAATCTAGACTCACCCCCCCCCCCCCCGTTCTTCCCCTGCTCCTACTGTGAATAATTCAGCTGGAAAGTCTGCATATTATCTTTGTTGTGTTACAGACTACCACACTGGTAGGAACGGATGCATCTCTTAGGCTCAATTTTTCAGTTTTTACCTCCTATCTCAGTCTTAAATTCAGCTCACCTCATTTCCACATCAATTTGCATTAGGAAATATAAATGAAAAACCTACATGAAACTTTGTAGATATCTCTGTGCAATTTTTTTTTTTGCAAGCAATTCTCTGTAATCTAAGATATTTTTGTACATGATTCTCACTAATATACACTTTTTGTGCACATGGTTCCGAATAGATGCTTTTTGTACACCTTTTTGACTGGAAGAGATTTTCAGGAAATAATTCTGCCTTCCAATTCAGCTCTCCTGATGTGCATGGGTGATCTTTTAAAATGCAGTAAAAATCAGGAGAACTGTAAAAATGACACAAAACACCTTCTCACCTCCCCTTTTTGGGAAGTGCTGGGCCTGCAGGGCACCCGAGCCTCCGCATCCCCCCAGAGTGCCCACCAGCTGGGGGGTGCCCAGGACGGAAGGCTGCAGCTTGGGCGCCCTGCAGGCCCAATGCTGCCTGGGGCGATCCATCCCACCCACACCCCTATAGCTACACCACTGAGTGGGGTAGTAAAATTAGTAAAATTGTTTGTTTCTGTATCTGGCTTCTGTAAGGCAGTCTGACTCCCAACACCCATCATCTATTTTCCAAGCCGGGTCCTGAGAGGGGGCAGCAGTTACTGCGTATGCCTGAGGGTCCCCTTGATCTGGGGGTGGGGTGGGGGCTCCCTTAGCTGCAGCCTCAGCTCTTCACGAGTCAAAAGAGGGTCCACCAACTGCTTATGGTCTACCCAAGTGGGCTTTGGGTGGACATGATTGATTTCATTAGACTATTCATTTGATCTGGGTCAGCTGAAAAAACTGGGCATTTGATTCTTCCAATTGGAAGTCTAAGTCTATGCTGGAGAATGGGGTGTGAACCCAGGTCAGTTGTGCCTGGAGACCTGCAGATACAGTGGTACCGCTGGTTGTGAACGGGATCCGTTCCGGAGGCCCGTTTGCAAAATGAAAATAGTGCAACCTGAGGTGCCGTATCTGCACAGGTGCACAGCGCAATTTGGCGCTTGTGCGTATGCGCGAGCGGCAAAACCCGGAAGTAACCCTCTCCAGTACTTCCGGACCGCTTCCCCTAGAGCCCGGGGGTGGTGGTGGAGCAAGCTTGGATTCTAGAGGAACCAAACAATTATTAACTGTGGAATATACCTCATGGCAGGACGCGGGTGGCGCTGTGGGTTAAACCACAGAGCCTAGGACTTGCCAATCAGAAGGTTGGCGGTTCAAATCCCCGCGACGGGGTGAGCTCCGGTTGCTCGGTCTCTGCTCCTGCCAGCAGTTCGAAAGCTCATCAAAGTGCAAGTAGATAAATAGGTACTGCTTCGGCGGGAAGGTAAATGGCATTTCCGTGCGCTGCTCTGGTTCGCCAGAAGCAGCTTAGTCCTGCTGGCCACATGACCCGGAAGCTGTACGCCGGCTCCCTCGGCCAATAAAGCGAGATGAGCGCTGCAACCCCAGAGTCGGTCACGACTGGACCTAATGGTCAGGGGTCCCTTTACCTTTACCTTTATACCTGATGGCATTGCCTTCTATGGAAGACCTTTATTTGGATTTGGGAAACATCAGCTCGTTAGACTTGAAAGACTGCTTTGAATTTTATTAAACAAAGGAAAGCTGGAAGCCAGCCCAGAGTTTTAGAGTTAAGAGCATGGATTAAAAGGGGGCACTCTGAGGGGGGACGGCACCGAAAACAATTGTAAAACAACAGAATGAATAAAATTCCTCTTGCATGCTAACACACATATAGATTTTTTAAATACGATTGAAAGTCGCATACCAGTGATTTTCATGATGATAAAGGGTTAAGATCAGAACTATGATATTAGGAATAAACAGAGGAAAATTCAGGAACAAGACCTTCTCCTACTAGCCAGAACATGGGAAGTCCCATTAAATTATTTAATTTGGAATATATAATTGGCTTTATTATTTGTTTCATAATGTGGCAAGATTTGATATGTTATTAATTGGAATGTTATTAATGAAAAATTAATAAAAAATATTTTAAAAAAACAACTTCCATAATCCCATGGTAGCTAGGACTAATGGGAGCTGGAGTCTAGGGACATCTCGATGCACACAGTTTAGCTATCCCTGGAGTATGTAGTGTAGTTGAAAACGGCAATAACCTTGGAGAGCAAAATACACCAAGTGTGGCACCTAGTGGTAGACGACAGCAGGCATGTACAACATGTTGATCGTGAGCCCCCAGTCAACTGTGGTTTTTTTCTGGTTGACCTCAGGGCCTTTCTCTGCAACCTCAGATGCAGCAGCAGCAGCCACTGCCAGTCTCCACAGAGATGCAACAACTCTGAGCAGTGCACACGTGGGGGGACGGAGGAAGGCACGAGGGAGCTGGGAGAGGTCTGCGTGATGTTGCTGGAAGAGGGGAGGTGGGCAGCTGCTAGAGATGGAGGGAAGCATGAGGAGGAGCTGTGTGGAGGGAAGGAAGAAGGGAAGGAGGGATCAGGATCAGGACCAGCTGCATGGCCCCCTTTGACAGGGGGGAAAGAGGAAGGGGGGAGGGCAGGCACTATTGGGATTCACATCAGCTGCGAGGCTCCCTTTGACAGGTGGGAGGGAGGAACAGCTCCACAGCCAGGGCTGTCTTAAGCATATCTGGCGCGTGGTGCAAAGATTCCTCTGGTGTCCCCCTTTTCCCAGAGTTGTCGACCTTTTTTTAGGGCTGGAGGAGGTGGCCAGCAGCTGGAGGGCGGAGGCTGCATGTGGCGCCTCCCGGCTTAGCTGGCTGCTTCATGCCACAGTGGCCACGTCAGGCAGCACACCAAGTGAGCAGATCTGCGCTGAGGGTGCGTGTGCCGCTCCAGCCAAACGTGGGCTTGGTTTTTTCTCTTTTAGCTTTCTGGTGCCCCGCAGAATTTGGCACCTGCAGGCTAAAAGGGAAAAAACCGAGCCGACGCTTGGCGGAAGCGGCGCACACACCCTCGCTCACCCAGCACAATTGTTCGGTGTTCCCTGGACTCTCGTCTGGTGCCCTGACGCACTGCGCCACTAGCCTCTATGGGTAAGATGGGCCTATCCACAGCCCAGCTGATATGAGGGGTGCGGGGAGAGAGAGATTGCATGCTGGGTTTTTTTGGGGGGGAGGCAGCATCCCCCTGGACAGCTCTGCAGCCCAACTGCTTGGGGGGGGGAGAAAGGGCTGGCTTGGGAGGGAGAGAGAGCTGGGCACCCACCCACCCTGCACTGTCGGGGGAAGCAACCAGCGCCCGCCCGCCCACCCTGCACCTATCCCTGGGTGTTAGATCACTGCCTGTTTTTGATATTGGATTGCAGATCACAGACTACTTGAAGTTGGACATGCCTGGACTATAGCATTACACTACACAGCATTAGCCTTTGTACGAGTAAAACTAAACAAGATAAAAAAAAGATAGCTTCCAAACAACTACTCATCTTCACATTACCTGCACACCTCTCCATGTCTATTGTACAAGAATGCAGAATGTATCATACCCTAACAAGAAATCACAAGAGAAAGCAGTACAGTGGTACCTCAGGTTACATACGCTTCAGGTTACATACACTTCAGGTTACAGACACCGTTAACCCAGAAATAGTGCTTCAGGTTAAGAACTTTGCTTCAGGATGAGAACAGAAATTGTGCTCCGGCGGCGCAGCAGCAGCAGGAGGCCCCATTAGCTAAAGTGGTGCTTCAGGTTAAGAACAGTTTCAGGTTAAGTACGGACCTCCGGAACGAATTAAGTACTTAACCTGAGGTACCACTGTATAGTATTAAAGGCTGAAGCAGCCTTCACCAACTTGGTGCTCGCCTGTTATGTTGGATTCCATCTCCCATCAGCCCTAGCCAGCATGGCCAATGGTCTGGGATTATGGGAGTTATAGCCCAAAGATTCTGCAGGGCATGTGGTTTGGGAAAGATTCTGGAGGGCTAGAGTTTTGAGTAGAATAGGAAGAACCATGTTTTAATCTCCACCCAGTTATGTAGCATCTCTGGATGATCTTGAGCCAGTGGCTATTTCTCAGCTTAACAAAACTCACAGGGTTTTGTAATGATAAAATGTGTGCATGTGTTGGTGCAGGGATGAGACAGGAATTATTTATTCTGTCAAGAGCACTTTGGAGGAGAGGCAAGATTCTTTTCTTTTTTTAAAAAAAAAATGAAATAAATAAGCCAGAAAATGCAGTCTAATAGAATCAGCAAAAAAGAAGAGGAATGATAGCAGGAAAGAATGGTAGGAGGAAAAACAACCCGCTTGGGTTTTAACTCAATCGATCAAAGGCCCATGTGGAATACAGATGGAAAGAAGCCCACAGGGGCCTTTGATTGTGTAAATCTGCCTTTATTGTATTTTTGATGCAAGATTTTTATGACACAAGTGGGGAGAAAATGGTTCCCCTCCCCCTCTAAGTGCCTGGGATATGTCTCTTTAATAGCAAGGCTGGCAAATCCATTTTGTACCTCTCACCAGCTACGTGTCTGTAGTGGGCAAGGGGGAGAGGGAAACTGAAGCCAGAGCCTTTCTTTGCCATCCCCCACTCCATATCATTGCAGAAAGGAAGCACACCTTGACTTTTACCACAGGCCACAGGATCTAGGGCCACCCCTCTACCTCCCAGAAATACCATCAAGGGAATACCATACAGTGGTACCTCGGGTTACATACGCTTCAGGTTACAGATTCCGCTAACCCAGAAATATTACCTTGGGTTAAGAACTTTGCTTCAGGATGAGAACAGAAATTGTGCAGCGGCAGCAGCGCGGCAGCAGGAGGCCCTATTAGCTAAAGTGGTGCTTCAGGTTAAGAACAGTTTCAGGTTAAGAACAGACCTCCAGAACGAATTAAGCTCTTAACCCGAGGTACCACTGTATTTGGTGACATACATTGACCAGTGAAGGCGAAGCACCAGGAACTTCACTCTTCTCTTGCTGCCACCCAGAAAGAGCTCTCTGATGCAACTACTAGCTGTGCTCACACTGCTCCTTCCATGTACTGAAGCCAACCAGGCTGGCAGTTGAATCTTCTATCAACACTGGTGATGGGGGCCGCATCCTCTGTCACATCTGAGTGCAGCAGCCTAACTTAGAGGGTGCAGAATAGGCTGCCTGGCACATACTCTGGCTCGATAAAACCTCACTGGTTTTGTCCACTTCTTAACATTTGCCATCTAAGGCAGCTGCATCCCTTCGCCTAATGCTATGGCCAGGTCTGCTTTCAATCCCATCCTGCCTATTCCCTAAGAACTTACAGACAACAGATAGGCTCCTTGTCTGTATGCTGCAATTAACATCTGCTGAGTCAACTGACTTTAAACTATTCAAAATAAAAACAAATTAAAACTAGAACAGACCACAGAGCTCAAAGGCAGGGAGCTTTTCTTGTCACCATCTTCACCCAGAAGTCCCACAGATGTTATATAGATGCTTTTCTCTGTGTTCGGACTATGCTTGAAGCTATATTTGTCAGGAATTGTGCAAGAGCCTTGCCTCTGGACACAGCAAAAGTGGAACTCCCCTCCTCAAGAAGCATGTTCATCCCTTTCTCTGTCTTCTACCACCTAGCTGCAAGATCTATTACACTGGTCAACAACAAATTTGTTGTCTGCGTTTTTTCAGTTGATTTAGGACGAATCTGATGTGCTGAATCCAAAAATCACATTAGTTTTGCTCAATCAGGTCAAGTTTTTGAGCTATGGCCACATGTCATTTTTTTACTTTTTTTTTAATAAGATATTTATTAAAGTTTTCAAAGCGTTACAAAAATACAAAAAAAAAGAAAGAAGAAAAATACAAAATAAAAATGATTAAAAACAATTCATTCTTTCCATTACTTATCCTTCATTTGCTTATTTCCCAGACCTCCTCACGCCTCCCTTTTTAGTATTCCAGTTCGGTTTGTTAGTTCAGCAAATCCCTCCCCTCTTTATATATCCTTGTCGTTAGTCATAAAGTATTGTAATTTTAAATTTTTGCCTATTAATAATCCATTTTTTCATATTCCCTTATAATATTTCAGCTAAAGACCACTTAGTTTCTATCCAACATCACTCTAGCATTCATTAATTTTGCAATATTTCTGTAAATAGTCTTTAAACTTTTCCCAGTCTTCTTCCATCGACTCTTCTCCCCGGTCTCGGATTCTGTCAGTCATTTCCGCCAATTCCATATAGTCCATCACCTTCATCTGCCATTCTTCCAGGGTGGGTAGGTCTTGTGTCTTCCAATACTTTGCAATGAGTATTCTTGCTGCTGTTGTGGCATACATAAAGAGAGTTCTATCCTTCTTTGGCACCAGTTGGCCGACTATGCCCAGGAGAAAGGCCTCTGGTTTCTTCAAGAAGGTATATTTAAATAGCTTTTTCAATTCATTATAGATCATCTCCCAGAAAGCCTTAATCCTTGGGCACGTCCACCAAAGGTGAAAGAATGTACCTTCATTTTCTTTACATTTCCAACATTTATTATCGGGCAAATGATAGATTTTTGCAAGCTTGACTGGGGTCATGTACCACCTGTATATCATTTTCATAATATTCTCTCTTAAGGCATTACATGCCGTGAATTTCATACCTGTGGTCCACAACTGTTCCCAGTCAGCAAACATAATATTATGTCCAACATCTTGTGCCCATTTAATCATAGCAGATTTCACCGTTTCATCCTGAGTATTCCATTTCAACAGCAAGTTATACATCTTTGACAAAATCTTAGTTTTGGGTTCTAACAGTTCTGTTTCTAGTTTTGATTTTTCCACCTGGAAGCCAATTTTCTTATCCAAATTGTATGCCTCCATTATCTGATAGTAATGAAGCCAATCTCGCACTTTGTCTTTTAATTTCTCAAAACTCTGCAATTTCAATTTGTCTCCTTCTTGTTCCAAAATTTCCCAATATTTCAGCCAGTTGGCCTCCATATTGAGCCTTTTCTGAGCCTTTGCTTCCATCGGTGACAACCACCTTGGGGTTTTGTTTTCAAGTAAGTCCTTATATCTTATCCAGACATTTAACAATGCTTTCCTGACAATATGGTTTTTAAATGCTTTATGTGCTTTAACCTTGTCATACCACAAATATGCATGCCACCCAAAAACATTGTTGAAACCTTCTAGGTCCAAAATGTCTGTGTGCTCAAGAAGCAGCCATTCTTTCAACCAGCAGAATGCTGCTGATTCATAATAAAGTTTGAGGTCTGGCAGGGCAAATCCACCTCTGTCCTTTGCATCAGTTAATATTTTAAATTTTATTCTGGGCTTCTTGCCCTGCCAGACAAATCTCGAAATATCTCTCTGCCACTTCTTGAAACAATCCATTTTGTCCAAGATTTGCAATGATTGAAACAAAAATAACATTCTTGGCAATACATTCATCTTTATAACAGCAATTCGACCTAGCAAGCAAAGCTTCAAGTTTGACCATATCTCTAAATCCTTTTTCACTTCTGACAAACATTTCTCATAGTTGTCTTTAAATAGGTTTAAGTTCTTAGCGGTCATATTAACCCCCAAGTATTTTACTTTCTTAGCCAGTGTTAAACCTGTCTCCTTCTGAAACCTCTCTTTCTCAATCGGTGTTAAATTTTTTCTCAAGCACCTTGGTTTTTAACTTGTTCAACTTAAATCCTGCCACATGACCAAATTCCTGGATCAATTCTAATACTCTTTTAGTACTAGATTCTGGCTCCTGTAACGTCAATACTAAATCATCTGCAAAAGCTTTCAATTTGTACTGTTTGGCTCCGACCTGTATACCTTTAATCAGACGCTCCCTTCTGATCATATTTAGCAGAACCTCCAGGACCGAAATAAAAAGCAATGGGGAAATTGGGCAGCCTTGTCGTGTCCCTTTCTCTATCTTAAATTCCTCTGTCACCACATTGTTGACTATTAGTTTGGCCTTTTGTTCTGAGTAAATTGCACTTATACCATTTTCAAACCCTTGACCAACCCCC